GTTTCCACCAGCCACAGGATCCTTTTCTGGGGTTTTGTTTTACCTTTCACTGCGAATCACAGAAGAGTCCCCTTTAAAAAGTGTGAATTAGAGAGCCTATTGGTCTGACCTGTGGATGGGGTCCAATAATAGTTATTGAAGAAAAAAATTCACGTCTACTTTATTCACGTTGCCTCGGCCCGTGAAATCACTCTCACTGTTTTCCACCATTATTATTTTTTATCATTAATATTTTTCAATATTGTTTTCTATAATTATTTTTTTTTAATCTGCAAAGTCCTTCTGGGGTATGACACAGGGTGAAAATGGATTTTTAACAAAGGTGAAAAATAATAACAGTTCTCCTGGGGACAGGTGCATTTCTTTTCATTTTACTAGAAATGTTTGACAGCTAAAGGTTTTTTGGGGGAAACTAAAGGAATTCCTTCTAAACTGAGTCACCAAATGGCATTGCGAAGTCAATAAGGAGAGTAAAGTGTTTTTTGTTTAACTTCAGGGAAAAGTCGAACGAGCCAGATGAGGCCGCGAATGGTGTTCATTAATCGGGACTCACTGTACATTTTTTCTCGTGTTCTGTCACTGTGACGTTGAAAATAGGCTCCAGAATAAAATATGTGGTTGCAACTTTGATAGTTTTGAATTCTGGGGAAATTTCCCTCCGAAATCACATTGCTCTTTTCTTATCATTTCTATTTGTCTCACATCCTGAGCATACACTTTATGTTACTGATATAATACATCAGTTAAATAAGAGCCGGGAGCATATATAAAATATTTTAAGCTTTTTTCGTTAAAAAATTAGAGGAAGCAACATTTTATGTTATGTGTATAAATTTTCTGTCTAGTGTATGGTAAACTGTGCTGAAGTCTTTGTACTTTTGTCCACAAGTTTTAATGGGTTGCACAAAGACACCTAAGATTGAATTTGGTAACTGGAAAAACTAATATTAATTCTGTTCTACGTTGGCTCACTCTGGAAACAAAGGTTCCTTAAAATTCCTCGTGTCGATTGAGTCCAACACAATCATTTTTTCTGATGCACAGAACACTGGGAAATTCATCAACCTTTATTATTCCTCATTGAAATGAGTGTCTTTGGATTTGTAATTATATTGTCTAATAAAACTAAACAGTCGATGCTATTTGCATATTATATGAAGAAGTGTCAGACAACAAACTCATAGCAGTAAATTAGCATAAAAGCTAATTACATATTTCATCAACTTACAAGAGTTTCTGAAGGCCATGCCTCTCCTGTTACAGCCTAGAGTGGGCAGGGGCTGAATCTTCACCCCCAAATATCAGCTTTTAACTCCTACCAGGAGTGATTTCAATGTTTTTACGGATGAAAAGTGAGTGACTAAACCAGGTGCAGTACTTGCCACAACGCCATTAAATTCTCTCCATTAACTGGAAACCTCTAGAAGGAGAAATCTTTGCAACAATGTGAAATTCATCATCGGTCACTCGGCAGCTTAAGTTCCGGTTTCCCGTCTGAGGGGCACTCCAAAACGGCGATAAAGATGGCTGAGATTTATCTGAGATGGTCAGGCTCTTGTGAGAGAGACAGATAGGCCACGAGGGCCGTTCCCAGGCCCGATGGTGCACTGTGCCATAATTGCGTCCCTGCCTGGTGGTGATAGCCATCGAGCAAGAAATTTGCCGCAAGATTAACAGACACACAGTAGTGAGCAAACACAGACGCCCTTCTGTAATTGGCTGCTGTTAACGTGTTGTCCTAGGGGTCAGGAACACATCCCTAACTCCGGGGTTCTAGGGAAACCAAAGCCAAAACTTCTCACTCCTTGCTCCCGTTTCCGAGTGCCTGTGAGAGGGGACTGCCTCCCACCCCCCGTCACAGCCCCTGAAACAAGCACAAGGTCAATAGAAGCCTAAAGGGAGTTAAAAAAAAAGACGCTACAACTATTAAGTATAATTCGAGCAGGAAGTAGGTTTCAAAATGAGAAAAAGTTAGGATTTTCCTGGATCAGGGTGCTCCAAGGAAACTATGAAATCCTAAGGGATCGTTTTTGTATTGGTAACAGACACCGGCCCGCCCGCCGGCAGACGTCAGGGCTGTAAGAAAGCCATTTCCTCCCGAGGCAGGGATGGCGCCCTTCCATTCATATTTTAATGAGGCCAGTATCTCCGAGACCGTCTTTGCAGGTCGGAGGCAACCGTCCCCTAAGTCGACAATGGAGGTGGCTTTATTGAGAAGAACCATTCAAAGCCCTCAGTGTGCGGAGAGAAAGACTTCGTTTTATCCCACTTGTCCTTATACTCATCATTATAATTCACTCTCAGAACGAAACTCTTCTGAGAGGAGAAAGGAGTTCAGTTCTTCTATGAACAACCTTTAAATTTACTGGCGGTACTTCCGCTGCGTGGAGCCGTGGAAAACACTAAGCAAACGCGTTTTACGAAACAGCAAAAGAGCTGCAATGCCTGGGCATCGCTTTCTTTAAAATTTTTCTTGCAAAATTGGATGCTTTGGGATGTTAAAATCTTTTTTTTTTTTTAATCTCCTGTAAAAGGAACTCTCCTAGGCATATCCTGGGAATTTTTCCTTTCTTGTTTTTAGTAAGAATTGTGATGTGTTGTCAGAGGTACCTGGCAGCCAATGTTTTCTACGCTGAAAGAATATTTACTAATTACAACAAAAGGCCAGTTAGCCTGCGAAGGTTTAACAGACTCACGTGTCGATCCCTGCAGAGAACATTTTGTGTTAAAACAGGCGCAATGCCGCTCTATTTGGACCTGTTAAATGACACTTTCAGAAGAAAAAAAAAAAAAAAACCAGCCCCGCCTGGTGGGGAGCGTGTAACGTGGGGTCCGTTTTTAGGACGTGGGAGACCAGGATGTGCAGGAAGGAATGGCTGCCCCGGGGAAGCGTGGAAGGGCTCCCCCCCAACCCCCGCCCCTCGAGGGTCCTGATTCGCTCACGTCTCAGATCTCTGCCATTTCCCACCCAGCTCAAAAACAGCTCCGAGGGGGACCTCCACTCGACGTGACATCCTGGCGAGTGGCGGGGAACAGGGTTCGGTTCCAAAGCTCAACCGGCAGGCAGACCCTGACCCTCTGTGGTCGCCCACCCCCCGACTTTTCCGACCGGGGAAGGGGGAAGGAGGAGGAGAGAAGGGGTTCGTGATGACTGTTAGATTTTTTTTTCCCTAAATGAAAGAGCCTTTCCTTCTCTTTGAAGTAAAAGCCTGTTTTGTTGAGTCCCAGAAAGCACCACTAATACATTTCACATGCATCAGATAAGGAAATATTCGCCCAGCTCGCGCAGGGCACGAAAAAGAACCGGCCATTCTTAATGAGCTGCTTCCTCGTCATTTAAGCGTCTCCCTCCGTGTGGTGTGAGTGTCCAGCCCGGACACCATTTAATCCTTCCCTCCTCTGAGTAAAGCACGTTCAGTATGTTCATTGGTGTATTTAAGACACACACACACAAACCAACACCAACTCGGAGTGCCTCAGTGGCATGATCAGAGGTATAAAGAAAACGCAACCTGTATTTGGGGTGTGGGCGCGTGAAACCAGCCATTTTTCAGGTCTTTTGACTGCAGACATTAAAACACACACACAAAAAAACCCCCAAAACACTAGCACACTCGTGAGTTTTTAAAAACTTGGTATTTTAGTGAATAAATAACTGAGGTGATGTGTTCCGGTTCCGTAAACGGCCTAGACAGCATTTAAAAAGCCATTTGAAGTCCAGTTTTTGCGGGGCTAAGGGCGGATATTGTTACCCAGTGCCCGGTGGGGCCGTTGAAAGCCAATTAGTGGTGTTTTTCTTCTGCTCTTTCCTCTTCCTCTGTTTCTTTGAACTTTTTTTTTTTTTAACGAAGTTGATTTCCTTAAAAGACCCGCCCGCCCGGGTGCTGGACCTCAGGCAGGGGCGTCGCCCGCCCGCGCTCTCGGCTAGTCCTCGGCGCGGCCGTGCGACTCGCGGCCAGATGGCGGCGAGGCGCGGGGACCCTTTGTGCGCCCAGAGCGCGCCTGTGAATGCCGCGCGGTCATCGGCACCGGAAGGGTTCCCACTGCGCCTGAAAGGGGACAATGGAGGCTGCGGATGGCGACGTCGCTGAAATCGAGACCATTTGCGATTCAGCCCTTGTCACCATGGTTGTCAGGCAAACTTCCTGCTTTGATCAGCGGAGGGTGGAGAGGGAAGGAGCCCGCCGAGGCCCGGCCGCGCTGCGCGTCCCGGCGCCCTTGGCGGGTCCCCGCCCCCTTCCGGAAGGAACTGGGGACCAGCCTCCTGCACCTTGACCCGTCTAGACGGCCCCCAAGTTTTTGTCTCCGTTACCAAGGGCGAGGGGTGCTCTTTGACCCCCGCGCGGGGCGGAGGGTCCTCTGAATCCTCGCTGGATTCCGGAGGGAGCGGGGCGCACGGCGACGGCCACCAGCTGTTCCAAAGGACAGCGCAGCCGCGCCGAGGACAGGGGCTCACGGCCACTGGTCTTGTGCCCGCTCCACTCCGCGCAGGGGCACTGCGCGGCGCAGGGGGCAGCGGGACCGAGGACAAACCCCGGGCTTTGCCTAAGTTCTCCTGAACTGATGGCGAGTCCTGGAACCAGCCGAGAGCGGACGCCTCTCTCCAGCTCCCCTCTCCTCTCCTCTCCTGCCTTCATCTTCTCCCTCCTCCTCCTGCTGTTCCTTCCCCTCTCTCCCTGCCAAGTAGACGGATAATAACCGCATTCTATGCTTGATGCCTTATTCCACACGGCCAATGACTTTTACGCATCAGTATGGTCTCTAGTTTGAATGTCTCTTTCTGTCCACCTGCAAACAGACGCACTTAAAAAAAAAAAACCCCAGGCTTTAAGCTAACTTCTTAAATTAGGTAAATAATACGACCACACGCATGTTTTTACATTAGGAACCTGAGGGCTGTGCACTGCCCTGGGGGCTGCGAGTCTCCCCAGCTAACCCTGAGGCGCCTTTTAAGTCGCGGTCGCCTTGAGCCCGGTTTCCTGCCCGCGTTTCCTCCGCAGGTTCCCTGGGCCCTGTCCGAGGCGTTCCTCGCAGACCTCCTGGACCAAGTGTGCCAGCGGATGAACGACTACAAGTTGGAGGTGGACCCTGTGACCAAGGAGAAGACGTTCAAGAGATTCGCCCCAAGGAAAGGAGACAAAATGTACCAAGAATTTAAAAAATTCTCTTTTTACTCAGAGGCTTACAGACCTTTGAAATTCGCGGTAAGCTCTCTCGGCAGACTAGTTCTGGGCTCTGGGAGTGTGCTGGCTTTTTTCTTTCTTTTTTTTTTTTTTATTTGTTTTCGGTGGTTCTTGAGTTCCATGAGGTGGAACATTAAGGTGCTACATTTGCTTTGTTGTCCTGTGCGGCCCGTGCATTTAGTAACGTGCCTTCTGAGACACAGAAGGGGCTGTGCTGTTTCGTCTTGGCGGGAAACATTAAGGGATATTTTTCAAGTGCTGTCACAAGTCACGGCGACCCTAAGACACACACACGTTGCACGTTGCTTGGCTTCTGTTGGGGGCGGAGGGATGACTCAGGGGGGCTCCCAGGGGGTCCCCTTGCCGAGGCAGGTCTCTTACAGGTTCAACACCGAGCGAGAATGGCTGTCGTTTCCCCGATGGTGAAGGCCGAGTGGAGAGGGAGAGGGGCCCACCTCGGGTTTCACGAAAGAGAGAGTGTGTTCCTGAGTTAACGCAGGTGTTGTGGCGCAAACTAAGTCAAACAAAGGCCACGGTGCGGCGGGCTCCCTGCCAAACTTCCTCCCTGCGCGGTGTGTGTTTGTTTGTTGTGAGTGAGCGCCGGGCTCTGCTCACGGGAGTGTGTGCCTGGCCAACTCGATTGCAGTATCTTTCATTTTACTTAATGCCGTTGAATCAGAGGGATGAAAAAAAGGCCTGGTTTTGTTGTTTTTGTTTTTTTTTTAATGTATTAAGGTCACACGTTCGCCAAAATGCCAGGCGTGCTGAAACCCTGAAGTGAGGGTTTTAGCTGACTTGGGAAGATTTCATTTTAATTAAAAAGTGAAGGTAATTCTGGGGCGAAAGGGCTTTGGAATGGGAATGGCCTCGAGCGAGAGTGCTGGTAGTTCACCGGTTTGAAACAAACAGACCGTCGTGGAAGTTAAATGTTTTTTAAAGGCCATTCAAAAATCGTAGATTCTCGCTTCATGAACCCAGAGTGATTCACAAGGGTCTGGTGAATGGCCCTCTACAGCTTAGCCACCCCTACAACTGGAACCTTCTGGTTCCCTAACGCAGGCGCAGCCTCCAGTTATAATTTAAGGTTTGTAAACGCACGGGCAGATCTGAGCTCCCTCCTCGCCGGAAAGTCAGATCTGGGGGAGGGGGGAGCGGAATGAAATCGGGGCTGCGTCCCTAAACCGTGTGACAAGGAACTTCCCTAAGTAACTGTCAAGCGTGATACCCACAGTGAAATTAAAGATGCGCGTGTTTTGATTGCCGAGAAAGATTTAATTGTGGTCACACTTCAGGTCCTGGTTTAAAAACCACAAAAATGGATTATTATATTAAATCGGGGGGCGGGGGGAACAGGTTTAACCATTTCAAGGAGCTAGCAGCTTTTAAGAAATAAATAAACACGCAAAGACTTTTCAGCTGCCTAAGTAGGAAATGCAGGTCTCCCTAATTTTGCATCTCAGTGGAAGGAAGAGAGACATAGCAGCAGCCACTCCTCCCTCCCGTCCCTCCACACGACGAGTCAGCTAGGTAAGTCCCGGGAACAGGATGTCTTACCCAAGCTGGAAAGAGGGTTAACGTGCCATGATGTCTCGAACCAAAGGGGCCGATAAAAACCCGACCACCTTGGTGGCACGATTTTACGTTTTTAGTCAATGAAACGTTGACACAGGGCCCCTGTGCGTGCGCCTGTACTCACACGTGTTCTTTTGCTCCTACAGTGCGAATCCATAATAGAAGAGTATGAAGACAAGATCCTCTCACTTATCGCCCGGGAGGCACGTTACCTGGCTGACAAGCTGTGCTCTGAAAAGCCAGGTACTGTGTCTGATGTAACACGCGCCCTCTCTCTCTCTCTCGCTCGCCCACCCCTCCCCTCCTACTCAGCATCTCAGCAGCTTCTCCCCCCACCCATCCCCAAACCGAGCCTCTCGTCTCCCCCACCAGAGCTTCTCCACTGAATCAGAAACGACACCCTGGGAGTGAAAACAAATAAACACGACCACAGGGCTGCCGGGCTTGACCGTCCGCGCTTCCTGCCCTCCACATTTTAAGTGAATTCAAAAGAAGCAAAGGAGCGTGATTTCCAGTGGGGAAGGAGCTCATGCTGGTTGGAATCGGATGAGCCCAAAGCTCTCGGCTCCCTTTAAACTCTGAGAGGTTTGAAATCTTCATCCTGGACCAGGAGGGGGGTTCTCTGACTTGCCTGGTACCTGCACCAGCAAGAAAGTGGGGGCTTTGTTTAGTAAGGCATTTTAAATGTTTCTTTGTTTGTTTCTTTGACCCCCGGGGTGCTGGATACTTTTTTTCCAGTGTCTTTCCCAGAGTATCAACTTCTTCAACAAATTTTTTTTTTCTGGCAGAGGGTGGAAAAATAATACTTGACTCGTGTTCTTGTACACACACTCAGAAGCTAGGAGAAAAATGCCAGAACTTTACCGATTAGATACAGAGCTGAAACATGCTCTTGCCATTGGCTCCCCTTGATTATACGACTCAGCCAGGGAGTACTTTTGTGCAATGTTACAAGTTGGAAACATTTAGCATTTAGCAACTGTTTCTATTAATGCGTGATACACCTCCACCCACAGAATTAAATGTATTGCCAAAGTTCTTAAAATAATACTGCATGTCTGTAGATAAAATGGATGCCTTCCAAAGTTATTCAACAGGAAAGTTAGTTACAAATCCCCATGAACAGGATGAAGTTTTCTTACTCTGAGCAGAAAATGGGGATGTTTTCTATTTTGAGTCCAGTTTGGGTGGCGGTATGAGGAGAGTAATGCACGGTCAGGGTTGCTCGGGTGTTTGGGGGCTTTTGGTCGTTGATTTTGGGTATGTCATGTCATTTTGTGAAATTCACAGAAATAAGTGTGTAACTGCAATTTCCCAAACACAGTATTTTTTAAAATTTTTTCCTAACAATTCAGGGTGCATGCCTGTATTAAGATAGATGCAAAACTGTGGAGAACGATATTGCAGATAGATAATCACCGTCCTAGCCCTCCTCATAAAGGGCCTGCCCTTGACCTAGTCACCCACGGCCCAGGCAGGTGGCCTGTCCTAAGCACACCTGCAGAAGGACTCGGCAAAGTTTTGCCAACTTTGTTCGGTGGCAAGTGCCCCAGATATCCAAATTTGGGGGGGAGGCTGTTTCCAAGAGCAGCGATTTGACTACATTCCAATAATATCCACGGCCTCTTTGTTCCTTCTGCATATGTATCATTGGACACGAAAAATTAACCGCAAGAAAATGCAACCCTGCTGCATAACCCTAAGATTTGTGCCATATGACTAGTTATAGACTGAAAGCCTGGTTATATCATTAGTTCCCGATAGCATTTGAGTTGTTCAAAGCCCAGGTTAAGCACTCCCGCTATAAACAGGGATATCGCTGTCTCGGAGAGGGCGGGGCGGCCACCCGAAGAGGGGCCGTCCCAGGGCCGTGGAGCAGGCTGAGGGTTTCCACCTTTTGTTTCTCTGTGAAGCGTACTTACGGATGTCCTAAAGCATTCGTAAGTCACAAAATGAAAATATATGTTCACCTTAAAAAAAAATCTAGAATCCTGGTTCCCCTCCCCCCCACATCCCCTTCCTATCGAAGTAAGTTCACACCATTTAACAAGGCAGAATGTGTTCAAACTTAAGAATTAGCGCGGGAGAGAATCTGGGCGTGTGACCACGCGTGCCCATGTGGGGCAGGTTCCGATAACCATGTGAAAGGTGCGGCTCTCGCCCTGCAGGAACATGTGGGTGCTTTCCAATGTCGTCAGAAATTCACACCCAGTAGTTTCCTGTTTGGCGAAGGCCGGACTGGGCCTGGTGCCCCACAAATGTCACTGGGATCGCTCTCCACGGGCCAGTGTTCTCAAGAAATGGCCGTGTACGTACATGATGGACGTTACAAAACCCCAGGCACCGGTAGCTCCCCACCCGGCGTGGGCTCTGTACACTGCGTGGCGCCCGGAGCTGTGAAAATGCGTGCGTGTTGCTCTTAGGAAGATACCTGATATTTTCCAAACTAGGTGTTTTTAAAATTGGAGGTTCGATCGGAAGGTGTGTCTCTTTCTATATTTATATACTTTAATATATGTATATAAGTGTGTACTTATATATGTGTGTGTGTGTGTGTGAATTTTGTTTTTTTCTATTTAGATCATTTTCTTCTATTTGTAATAATTACCCGGGAGTGATGAGGCCCCCTTCCCAGACTTCTAAGAGTTTCAGCCCTCCCGAGCTGTGACTGACATACAAAGTTGTGAGATATTGAAAGTGTGCCTCATGGTGCTGTGACCGACGTACCACTGCGAGGGGCTTCGTCCCCGTCTGGCTAAGGAGCGCGCTTGAGTCTTTGCAAGAGAAAGGTCCTTCCTTACACGCAGACCAATGGGGAGCAATAGAGAAAGCACATCTGTGTTGAAGGCTAGGATGGCTGTGTGGGGATTTTAAAACGACACGTGAGATTTTCATCAGCATCGTAGGTGTTTCCCACGAATGCGAGTATCTCGGAGAGAGGCCGGGGTGCAGGTGGGTCTGTGGACGCCCCTGCACTTCTGGTCCTGGGGCAGAGCGAACGTCCTCAGTGCACCTGTGCTGGAGGTGTGAGAGGGCAGGGGTGGGGGGAACTTCCCATAGAATCTCTCTCTCTCTCTTTTTCCCCCCCAGGCAAAGAAATACAAGTGAGTTCATTAGCTTTTCCTCATGCAATATTTTGAGACACATAAGCCAAGCTTCTCTGGATCTTTATTTTAAGGTCTTGACATCAACATGATGTTTTAAAATCCTAATGCATTATCAGGTATACGTTCCGAGGATAGCTGTATTCTACCAAAGCGGGAGAAACGTCAGTCCAGACTGAATGCATGGAGTCGCTTCCATCTGGGGAGGTGCTCGTCAGCCAGCGCATGGGAGGGTGTACATGCAGACACATACCTGCACTCTGTGTACACATCACTCACGCTTTGATATCAGACCTTTGCGTGCAGAGCCATCAGGATGATGAATCTGTCATGTGGTCATTTCCAATGCAACATATGGCATCAAGTATCAAGCATCTATAAATGTGTGGCCCCCATTGAAACTGAAAGTGTTTTCCACCTCTTTGTATAAGACTCCCCAACACTGATGAGGTGGTTAGATTCGATTGTCCAAATAATGGCTTTCTAGGCGAGCATACTTTCTATGTGAAGTAAAACTCTGTAGCTAGAATAATCTGCTGCTTTTCTAAAGAGAGGTGGCATTGATCGCTTCCCACTGGAAAAGTCATGTGCAGCCAAGCTCCTCTGCTTCTCGGAGCAAATGCCAAGTGCACGGTGCTCCTCTGTAAACGTCCCTCAAATGCCCATGGCCATGGGCGAGCAAGACAGCCCCTGGGCTCAGTGTTAGCACAAGAACTGCAAAGCATTGGCCAGTGTGGAGACTGGGGTTTGGGGTCCAGGAAGTAGATGGCACCCTTCTTTGTTACCTTTGTGTATTTGGGGGATTTTCCACAATTTCAAAGTCTTCGAAACTGCTACCACAAAAACAGGCTTCTCACAGAAAGCCAGTGACTTCCTTTTGGGCTGGTTTTCAACAGGATGGTGATGCACTCTTAACTTTTTTTTCCCAGGCCTGTGCAAAACTTCTCCTGATCGTACCGAATTCTAGGACTGACGTGCTACTGGTTGGAAAGGAGGAAAGGCACAGCCAAGGTCAATGCCAGCATTTGTGTCTGCCCATCTCTTCACGGGAAGGAATTTTATGTCCCTTGTTTATATCACGTTGTCTTGTATATAGTATTTTACTGAAAATCTGTTGTTTGGTCTCATTAAAAAAAAAAAAACCTGATTCTTTCTATAGGTGAAGCTGAGGGCGTAAAACAAATTGCCTTTGTGGATTTTGATAAAAATTGGCATGGCAATGACGCATTTAATTCGGTAATCGGAAAAAGGAGAAGCCATTTCGTAAATGAAACAAGGATTTAATAATGCGTCCTGTATAGTTTGTGCACAGATACAAAGTCTTGTGTTCTATTTTATGAGGTTTGATTTGATTTCTGAACGACTTGATGGATCATGAAAGTAATAAAATATATTGCCACCAACTCCAGATTTTCTCCTCTGGGTTATGTGTGGCCGTCGGTGAAAGAAACAAACTCACTTTATATCAGGAATGAAATTTAGGTTTCTAGAAACCGTACGTTTAAACCCTTGTTAATCTCTGAAATGTAATTGAGTGCATAAGAATCATGCATAATTTTATAATGAGCATTATTACACTGGCCTTATGCAAGTATTCTGAATTCAAGGTATTTAGGAAGTTGATTTATTATGATCGCATGTATGTATTTTAAAAGGTGATGCCAGGACCAGGTCTGATTAGGCTGCAAGCTCTCCTATTGCAGTTTTCCTTTTCAGAGATTTTCAGCTAACATTTAGTGTGTGGATTCTACTGTAGGTGTGTTTGTAGGTGTGGGGTGGGGAGGGCAGGTGGGACCTTCTACAAATTTGCCTTTGACCACCCTCGATACAGGAGAGCCTAGTCCCCACACTCCCGGAGGTTTCCTTGTTTCTGTGCACTTGACATTCAGTGGAATCTGGCTTTAGTTCCTTAAACAATCGAGGTGTAGTCTACTACACTTGCTTTTTCAAAGAAATTCTCATTGTTGTCTGTGAAAATGTACTGGGTAGGATGATACTAATTCTGCCCTAAAAGAGCAAAAACTAGTTGCCATCTGTTTTCTCATTGCTTAGAACGCACACTCTTTAAACCAGCCAACATCTCTTCAGGAGGAGATGATTCTTAAATCTGGGAGAAGTCACTATGTCCATCTTCCCCCCAACCCCCTACCCCCGACTCTTTCTAAATGTCAGAGTCTTACGTTCCTCTCTCCTATTTGGGGGGGGGCACTGAGGAGGTGTGCTGTTTGGGTTTGTTTGTAGCTGGTTCAATGGTATAGCGCTTACACACGGTATCCACTTCAGCTGTTAGAAAAATGGGACTGGATGGAAGAATAATTAGCGCCATTTTTCAGCAGGGTGGTAAACTTGTTGTTTAAAACATAGTCCCTGTGTCTTTCTGTGAACTTCTTCATCGGAGGTGAATTTAGCATTTCGAGTAGTTCAGTCCTGAACAGTAGGCTCCCCTGGGCTTTTCCTGGTGCTGCACCCAGAAGAAACATAGTTTCTCTCCCCTGGGCTGAGGAGAACCTGGCGCGAAGTGTCCATTTGTTGGACACTGGCCACCTGGCGCTGTAACATTTGTAACGGCACAGCCTTTTCAGACTCGCATTTGCAATTGTTACAGGTTCTGAAATATGAACAGCGCTCTGCTAGGGGCAGAACTGAAGGGAGTTGGGCTCTTGTTTGCAACCTTGGTGTCGGGAACAAGGGCTCCCCATTTGCCCACATCCACCTCCATCTTGCCTCCTGATGGCAAATAACTACGGTTTTGCTAAAAGGTGTCTTTTCGGCATTTTATTTCCCAGTCAAAACAGTTTTGTCTCTTACAAGATTTTTGATATTTCAGGACTTACATACTTTTTTTCTTTTCGACATTTTTTTCCAGCTCAAACTTATTAAATTAAACTCATGTCAATATTTGTAATGTATTAGGTTACTGCTGAAACTGCAGTCGAGTGAGGGAAGCCGCTGTATTGCTCACGGCCACGCTGGTGCCTGAGTTCCCCTCTGGGTCTCCGGGAGGCTGCGCAGCCTCAGCTAATGGGCAATAATGAGACGGAGTCTCTGCCTGCTGCAGTGTCCCTCCCAAAACGCATTCCTGCCTTTTTATTGCTGTTAGTGGCCGAAAAACAAAGGTCAGGAAAAACCAAACCAAACCAAACAAAACTGAGGATGTGCCAGAAAAGTTTCTCAGAGTTTTTTTAGACCTAATTCTAGGTCTGAAAGGGGTCCTGGAGGAAAAGGGGTGGGGTGGTGTTTATCAAAACCGTGAGTCGAGAAGGCAGGTTCAAGGCAGACGGTGTGGAATCGAGCTCTTAGGAAATGGCTTCTTCGAGTCTGTGTAGAGGACGTCTGTGGACCCGTTCTCATAAAGAAAAGCCCAAGTCGGCTCAGATAAACAGTCTGTGTTTGTTATGTGGTTACTATTTGCTAAGAATAAGCCAAGCCCAGGGAACCCATTTCACTGAGGAGTGCACAGTGGAACTGAGCCGAAATCCCAAACAGGAGGATCAATACTTTATTTACTAAGACAAGCCCTAAAAAAAAAAGTCAATAGCTGGGTCTATTTTTATGTCCATTTCTCTGCCTAGGTTAATATTTATTCATGGATGTAATAGCTTTATCTGAATAAAAATTTAATTCTATACCCATCTGAAAATTCAGGCGGCGGTGGAACAGGAGGGGAAGCTATTCTTTGCTGTGGTTTTGTGGCCTGTTTTAAAATTGGATACAAATCTGGGAGCTAAGCTTAGATCTGGACGCCCGCTGCCTGGCATATGGCGGAGCTCTCTGCCAAAAGGCAGTGAACTGTAGTAAATGTCACAATAAAAAGATACCTGTTAGATGCAATGGTGCTTTTCATTATTTTATTGTGATTTTTCTACCTGTCACTTAATGTTTCCTCGTAAGTTGCTTAAACTCCTGAGATTATTTGTTTTTAGGGCAAGGGAGTAAATAGGTTAAAGATCAAACGGGACCGGTGAAATCTGAAGGTAAAAGTGCTAGAAAGACCCTTAAGTCCCCTAGGAAAAGGCGCAGTCGGTGGCATTGTCCTTTTGCAGGGGGTGGGGGGCGTTCTCCCTGCCCTGGGCCCTCACCGTGTATTTCCTGAGGAGGAGGGGTCCTTTCTCTTGGGCCGTACCTCACGTGGAGACGGTGAGCAAATTTAATCTGTAGCTCGCGTGTCTGTAGGTCCTTGGCCCGGGGGCAGGGCAGTGGGATCTACAAGCCCGATACAGCTCTCCCTTCCAGGAGGAGCTCCGCAGGCCCAGAGATGCTCACGTACACACCTGTGTGTGCCCAGGGAGACACAGAGTCGGGACGCGGGGGTCAGGCAGAGCTTTGTCTGCCCCCGGCAGAGACCTTGGAGAAAAAGCACCTAGGAATCCCTTCAGTGCCTCCGGAGAAAAAAACATTTTCTACACGCCCCATCTTGCTTTTCAAGATGTTCCAGAAAGGGGGAAAAAAAAAAACCATGCCAAGTCACAGCACACAGAGAAAATCCCCTGTCACACGGGAGCAACATAGTCACGAAGCCTGTCAAGAAGTTACGAGCCATGAGGTGACATCGGAAACACAGGAGAATCTTTGTCTCCAGCGGCCCGTTATCACGGGGCCCAGATTCCAAGAAACCGGGGGTCCGCATCGTATCCCCCAAATATAACGGGGCGCGTAAAGGCGGATGCATCGAGGTAGCGGCGAAGCAGCTAGAACAGTGTCCGGCGGGTCACAGCCCTGGGTGAGAGACGGACAGGTCCTGAGCAGTGGCCTTGGCCACCCAGGAGGCAGTAAGGATCCCACTGACCCCCACGTCCTCCCAGGCAGGTTTGTACCCCAACACCTGAGGGAGGCCCCGGATGCTCCGTGTCAGCTCGTCATCCCCGGCAGGTGGCATGTGAGAGAGGAGTTAAAATGTTAATGCCACCTTCCCGTGCTGCGAGCAGCAAGGACGGCACCCGGAGGGCCCGGCTGTCCCCCTGACGTCGCCCGCGTGGGGCCTGCCTCTGCACGGCACCCCGAACAGGTGGCACTGTCTCCGTGGCGTGCTCTCTGATACCTGCCGCGCTGAGACGGGGTGACAATACCCCTGGAGGTGACACCGGTGTCAACATGGAGATTTCAATCAGGTGCTTTTCATTGTCTGGCAGACGCGCGCTCTGCCGCTTTGTTCCTGCTCAGAGCTGCCGATGAAAGCGCCTCCGTGCCCCGCGGTTTGTCGAGGAAAACAGAACCAAAACACAGGCCACTTGGACCCCAGGAAAAGACGGGTCCTTCTTATAGTGACGCAGTGTGAAAACCGAGGGAAACCTAATACAAGGGCCAATCAGGGTTATTAAATTTTTACGCCTTTAGGTGAAAATACACCCTTCCACTGCCTTTATAGGCAATCAAAGCTGTGATTAAATATTGATTAAATATGAATGCCTTAATATTAAAGGGTCACTTAAATGGGGCTTTTTTTTCCCTAAAAAAGCAACACCCTCCCCCCAAGGACGAACAGGAGGGGTTGTGAACTGGCTTCCTCCAGATCCTCTGTGGGTGCTAAAACCTGGACAGTTTGGGGACCAAGAACTCCAGGGCGCTGGGTCACCACTGCGTAGGCTGCACTCCCAGGTGGCCAAGGTGTGTCGTGATCCCATCTTGCCAAGCCACAAGCAGCTTGGTGACACCAGCATCCTTCTGCCCTCTGGCCAGGCTGTGGGATGCCCTGCAGAGCGGTGGCAGCGATTGGGAGGACATTCCCGTGGCGATAAACACCCTCCAACGTAGCTGAGTGGCAGCTGCTGGTCTGCCTCACTCCCGGGTGGATACACTGAACATAACAGAGGAATATTATTGTTTTGTTTTTTTCCTTAAGCCATGCTTCCCCCTCCTCTTGATGCCTGTGTCTCACATCCAGGACAGGCTTCCCTTCTCTCCTTCCTGGGACTCATTCCCAAATGGTGGGCATTTTCTCTTAGGCAGTAAGGTGCTATGTCACTGCACAGTCACCGCATTACTCCGGGCAGGAAGAAGGCGGGGG